GGGGGGGGGGGGGGGAAGAGACTAAGACTAGTTTTGCTAGTGATAAATATGTTACTTCATTTAGATGAGGTGTCTTTGCATTCCCACTAATAACACATGCTCAGAAAGGTAGCTTTTCTTTTTCCTACAAGGAAACCCACAAAATGATGTAGGAAGCCCCTTTAGGGGATAGTATAGTCACCTTGCCTGCATCATGGCAGCCTTAATTTACATATTCATAAGTCACCCTAAGCAGATGGATGTCTGGCTCAGCTTTGACTATCTCTACTGCTGGCCTCCCCTGGCAGTTCATTGCATTGTTTAATTCCCCTTGCAATTAACTTTTATGAATGTACATTTTTAATTTGTCTTGCTGAAGCTTAACCCCTTCTGCCTGCATTTGATCTTTACTAATAAGAACAAGTGACTTGTTCACAGTGGGTGATATGAATATTGTGTTCCTGCCCCCAACTTGGTGGATCACTTTGATCATTAATGCCAGCAGAAGGAGAAGCTTGTAATGTGGGCTTGGTCACTTCCTGACAATCTACAGTTTGACCTAGTTTCCTTCCTCTCCTTTTAGAACACAGGTGCAGGGGCAGATCCAGAGGTTCTCCATGCAGGATCTGTTTGGAGCCCCTGTTTTTGCATAGCTCTGGAGCCCAGGGGATGAATGTGGCCACAGCTGCTCATTCCCTCCTGTCCCCCTGCCACTAAATTCACTGGAAAAGGAAAGGACAAACAACAGCAACACTTACTCCCAAGGCTCTGGAGCCACAAAAGCAGGGGAACTGACCCTGCCCTAGTCAGCAGGTTTGTTTCAGAGCCTAGTGCTCATGTGGAATTAGCTCTACCAGGAGCCCACCCTGAGCAGGCAGTGAGATCAGCCTTTGTGCATACTGCCTAAGTCAAGGGGCTGGACCCCACCTTGCCCTGTTCCTGAATCTGCTACTGCACAAGTGTACAGTCTGTTTCCTCCTTTTGTAAGTTCTGCAATAGTAAGCAAAACTGCTTGTGGGCTGTATTCGTGCCTGTTGAATACTTGCAGAACTAAGGAAGAAACAACTGGGGAGGCTAGAGCCACCTAGTGGGGGAAAAATGAGGAAGAAGTTGCTCTTCTAGTGTATGGAAGGGAAGTATATAACCTGGAGCACAAATAAATGATAGGGGAGAAGTTTGTAGGAAAACCTTTTCTGAGAAGGACTGCTATCGTCTGAGATCTTTCCAATTTATCTCCTTGTTTATAAATGTTAACTAATTCAGCACCTCAAGGCCCTAGTCAGTAGAATGGTTTGTAGTCATATTTGTTACTTCTCTCAAGCATCCAGTTACCTTTCCTACTGCAGAACATTGGATGAGTCTACATGAGACATTTAATGTGGAGTAGACTAATTAGTTCCACAGTAAACATCTTGGCACATACATGTACAGCCCCATTAGGCCCCAGGAAACTACTAAACTCCTCAGCAGGGTAGTAATTGTAAATATAAGTACTACCCTGCTGCAGAGGGGTTTTTTGTGCACAGCAGCACATGTGTAGATGTTGCCCCAGCTGGCTGGGACATGGGGGTGCTTCAGTGCAGGGGCTGTCTGCCAGCTAGCCCCACACTGTAGCACCCTCGTGCCCCTGCCAGCCGCTCTGCAACATGCTGAGCCAGGTCAGAGGAGCCCTGTGCTGGCAGGCTGACCCCCTCCTCCTGCCAGCTGGGACTGCTTTGGCCTGGCTGAATGTGCTGTGGTCCTGGGCACATGTGTAAATGTTGTAACCAGGAACAATAAACTCTACTGCAGTTTATTGCATTGCATTAATATACACATGTAGATACAGCCATTGTAGCATAGATTTAGTTCTGAATTTCAAGGGCCTTGCTATTGAGACCTTCAGTACATGGAAGAAGTAGAAACTCACCAGGGGGTTATCTCAAAGATTAAACAGTAGAATTTTTTTATCAGATGTTGCTGCTTTTTGCCCTCTAGTTTGTCCCAGCTAAAGAGAACAGAGAACAACTCTTCTTAATTGATACTTTCTGCTATCATTCACTTGAGAGATGCCTGAAGACTGAAATGAATGCTGGCAAATACTTATTACAGAGGAGCTTGAGATATCAGTTTTAGGGTAAAGTTACACATTTGAATTAAGCTACTTGAAGGGCACTAAAAATGTGAATGATCACAACTTCAGGTTCATTAATAAATGTAGGTGTCTTGAAGTTATGCTACTTCAGGCAAGGATTATCTGAGTCCTGTTATCCTGAACAAATTACTTGAACTGGCTGTTCCACAGAGATGAAACAACCATGTTCCAGCCCTCCAGTATCACAAGAGGCACTGTTCCTAGATGGACCAGTTGTCCCCCTGGATTTCACAGCCCTTGCCTGACAGCTGCAAGTAGAAGCTGAAAGGGGTGAAGGAGAACAGCAGGGTGG